GAGCTGGGAAAATGCCTAATGAAACATGAGGTCAGCCTAAAACACTTCACGTAACATTCAGAGCAGAGCCACTCCATTAAATGCTGTATATAAACTTAAGCTTGTTTCTCCTTTTGTCCAGAACATCTACATGACCTTACTGACGCTCTCCTTCACCTCGCTGTCATGGAAGGACACCACTAACTGTCACCGCACTGCTTCCATGGTCTGCTGGACCCTTCTGCGGCAGGTAGCAGGCTCAATACAACAAACCTTTAGTATAAGCCTGTATTTTATCCTTTTTCCTTTTGTAAAGGTCAAGGCTGTCTCTCAAAACTCTGACTTCCCTATCCTGTCTGTGGCTCTCAGTACGAATCCCATTCAAATATGCAAATATGTACTTTCATTTAAAAAAAAAAAAAAGGAAGGCGGGGGGGTAAAGAATTTCCGGAACTAGCTGTAGACTTTAGCAAATACTGCTCAAACAAAAGTAAATGTAAATTTGTTAGCATTATTTCAGTCTCAGGACAGTGGGATCAATTTCAAATAAACAACACTAACGAAGGAACATTGATGTGTTTCAAATACACAGAAAATACGCGTTTGTTCACTTTAACATGGTTTGATGTATTGGCAAGAATAGTATCACAATACAGGGGTTACGATTCAGTATATTGGGATATATTGCAATTCATAGTATACTGAACACACCACCATATTCATAAAATCTGTGTATGCAACCAGAACAATGTGATCTGCATTGGTATTTATCAGTCACTAACATTCAGCAGCATAGCCCTCGGATCTCGATTACATCACCATTATATATAAATGTATACTGTGTTTTTGAGAATCGATGCAATATCACAAAACAAAATATTGCGACACAATGTTTTACGATATTTTCTAACACCCCTAATAATGACCTGACTTTTTGTCGATGTATAATTATTTTATTGAAGTGTTTGAGTGACTCAAAGCGTCTTGGGAGTTCATGAAGTGTCTTATCTTAAATTTATGCATATTTCTAAAGTTTTCCTCTCATGTCCACTCTGTGTCTCTTCAGGTCATAGGGGGTAATCTTCTTCCTGAGGCGGTCACATGGTTATATACCAGTGTTCTTCGGGGCCTTCAGGTTCATGGGCAGCATGAGGTCTGCAACTCCACCCTCTCTCAGCTGGCCATGCTCATCTATGAAAACTTGGTGAGGCTAATGGCAGTAATCTCTGCCATGTCTGCTCTTTGTTTCTGCCTTTGTTTGGTCCAAGAAGTCACCTAGTTAACTCATGGTTATTTTTATTATGGATTAATCTGCCCATTATTTTCTAGATCTCTTTTTTTTTTTTTTTTTTGGTCCATAAAATGTCAGGAAACTGTGAAAAATTCCACAAATTTGCTTCAAATTGTGTGTTTTACCCAACTTAGTCCAAAACCCAAAGATCAGTTTAGTTCAGTTTAATTTCATCTATAACAAAGTAAAGCAAATCCTCACATTTGCGAAGAAGAAAATAACTCCAAATAATGAATCACCTATCAGTAGTAGTTTCTCATTTACTTGCTGTTGATCTACAGTCCTATAGGGGTAAAGCAAATTTTCCATTCCTGTGGAGATGCATCCTGAGAATGCCTCGCGTTTAATCTCCTCGCTTGTGCATACACCTGTCTGTCCATCTGTTTTAGCGGCCTCGCTACATGGAGCTGAGCGCAGTGATGACCCAGATCCCAAACATTAGTGTGGATGCCTTGGACCAGTATGATCACAGGCTCTTGGACCCCAACGCCCAGAAGGTTGGAGACAAGAAGAGGAAAGACCAGTTCAAGAAGCTCATTGCAGGAACAGTTGGGGTAATGCCACATTTAGCCACTAGAGAGCAGTACTTCTCTATTCATGCTCACTGTAGGCTTCAGAAGTGACCAGAGACACTGACCTAATAGTGCAAGTCATTACTTAGCAGTGTGATCCCGGCTGTGTTGTAAATCTTCTGTTTTCAGCAGCTAAAAAATGTTTCAGGAGCTCAACGGGGCTGTACAATCTAATGAAATTCTTTCTGGTAGATCTTTGGATAGCTCTGTTTAACCTCTCCCCTCTCTGTCCCCTGCCAACAGAAAGCTCTGTGCCAGCAGTTCAGGAAGGAGGTTCATATCCGGAATCTTCCATCGCTCTTTAAAAAGCCGAAGCCAGACAAGGATGTACAGAACAGTGAGGCATTGGGCCTGGCAGCTCTCTTCTCCCCGGAGAATAACACCCTGTAGGAACACGTAGTGGTTCCAATGCTAACTGAAGACGGAGCCGTGTGTACAAACCAGGGTTTCCCTCACCATCCTCCAGCAGGGGCAGTGCGACGCTACCTAACATAACTGTCAACACCTGTTTATCAGTCCTTTATTTGAACCTCCACAGCACTACTCACACTCATTAATATCTCTACACTAGTCATTATCACTCAGTGGGTTCCCATTAAATCCCATTGCACACTTCTTCTCCATTCCTTCAGTCATACCAATAAAGGAGGTATATTCGCTATGAAAATTTGTAGGAAATGTTTCAGACAAAAGAAGAATGGTCGGCTCCTGTGTCAGATTGTATTTAGAGACAATCTTAAAATGGCAGACTAACGATTATTGTTTGCTCTGCAGTGGGAACTTTGAGCCACAAAAATACCTTTAAAATAGGACGATTCTGTCATTTTATCTTGGGCCTTTTTCGTTTCTAAGGGGCAATATTTGCCCATCACACAGCATAATGTACACTAAGCATGTCGTAGTTCTGTGGAACTAGGAAATCAAACCGGGAGCCCAGCTGCGGTTTGATATTCAGCATAGAAACGGGCATGTAATGATGTCCAAACAAGCAAAGCCAGTATAGCTGATAGCTGCAGGAGTAGCTTGTTAGGAAGGAGTATGTGTGTGTGTGTGTGACTTGCGGAGACATTTTGTACTTAACATTTTTTTATTATTTTTTATTATTATTAATTTCAGAGGTTAGTGTTGGCAGATATGTTGTGTGACCACGCTGCTGTTTTATCCTGGGTCAAAAAGGAAGGAAGGAAGGAAAATCTAGGACAAATCCTGGTGCACATTTCTCTATTCACCTTCATTTTGTTTGAACAAGTTGCGATGCAGTTTCTGATTCTGAAGCATGTGCTAATGGTACCTCAGGTGTGACGTTCCCTATGATCGGGTGAAGATATTTTATGGAAATATACCCTAAGAAGAAAAAAAGAAAAAAAAGCAGCTGGATTGTGTTTTCATGAATGAATATTGTAAATTTAAGTATGAACAACAGTTTCATTTTTTGCAGATATTAGACAGTAGTGGGATGAAGTAATGACTGTTTGCATTTTGCCAGTTTTTCATATCTGCATGACAATTCAGAACGGTTTTGAATTGTGTATGTAATTCAGAGCACATATCATACTTAAGATAATGCAGCCACATTTTGTGCCAAAACACTGGTAAATAACTTTGTTTATATAGCACATTTAATGCAAGAAATGCAGCTCAAAGTGCTTTACAACAAAGAAATTACATGCTCCGAGTGCTTCACATGAAAAAAGACATCATGAACATAAAAACAGGGATAGGAATGCCATAATTAATGTAAAATAATGTGGGAAAAAATTATGATAAAATATTGGTGACCAGATAATTGTGTCTGAGAAGCAAAACCTAACATTGTACAACTTTCATAAAGATTATTTAAGGGTGGACTCAACCCCAACTAATGTGTAGCTTAATCCAAGTCTTTCTGTTGTTTTCTAGCTGTTCAGTCGGTAATGCTGTTCTGTTTTTTCACATGTTCTGCTTTGTGTTTGTACTGGTATTTCCAGCCACGAAAAAAAAGATGAACCAGCACTACATTCCTTCATTGTCCAAGGAATTGTTTTTAAGCATAATCTGTTTGGATGTATTTAGCTCTTATGGAGCTATCGTGGTAGAGAGTTATGTGTTTTTTAAATTATGTGTTGTGTAGATTCAGACCAAAATAAATGATTCTGGAGTGTGCCCCCCACTTTTAAATGCAATTAAACAGGACGGCATTTCAGATGCTGTTCCACTTTAAACAGGTTCACATCATACTTTCTGAGGAATAGAACATGAAACTTTATTTTTCAATGAATTCATTTTCCCTGTCTTTGTGATGATTGTTCACATGTGGCCATTTTTAACAATGCTTGTTCAACACTAAAATGTTCTGTACAATGAAGAAAATAGGCTTTTTAAAAGTGTAGTGTGGTTTATATTTTGTTGTTTTTAAATAAAATAAAAACTTAATTTCAGTTTGTCTATAATTCATCTTTTTTCTATTTAGAATAAGGAGAAAATGAGATATTTAGAAGATATTTATTTGATTGCTTCATATGGACATATTTGGGTCTCATTGTTCTTATAATTATTTTCTTTTGCATATGCACATGCTTAATGACCAACATGGGGACATATTGTAATTGCAAATATAAATTTGGCTTAAATAAACTACAAAGTGGAAAATAATTTATATTAAATGAATTATGCCTTCAGAGAAGCATAAGCCTTTTCCTCCTGGAACCATTTTCTATTCTGTTTCCTTCAGCAAATCTTTACACATATGACATAATATTTAATCTCTATAAGGATTTCAGAGTTTAAAGATCCCCCTTATTAAATGTCCCCAATTAAATACAAATGTCTATCTATTTCCCTTGTTTTACTTTATCTCAGTTTTCTCCGAATGAGGCTACACAACACTGCCAATTAATACAGTTTTGTGTTGCATTCCTGTTCTGCATTTATGCTTATTTGGTTTCACCATTGATTTAGATGATTAATAACCTCAATCACTAATCATTAGAGTGCCTTTTGGTGCTTATATCGTGAAGGAATACTGAATTACTGAACGAGGGGGACCTTTTTTCTAAAGCATGTCCATAAAAGCAGTTTTTCTGAAAAACAGTTCAGACTCCGAGTCGGTAGGGGGCGGTAATGCATCATATCGCTATTTGTAAATAGCTGTAATGAGCTTTAAATAAGCGCAATGAAGACGAACAGCGTTTCTCCCATGGCTGCTTACCGGATTCCGGTTGTATGTTGTTTATATTGTTATTATTAAATATATTGGGAATGAATAAACTAATGCATGTAGGTTTAATATTAATGGCAAACAGGAAGCCGTTGTTGCCTCGAAGCGTCACGCAGCCAATCTCCTAAAAAGTTCAAATGTTAAATTGGGAAAACAGAAAGAGCTGTAAGTCTGTCAGCAAACAGAAAGCCTCAGAACGACTGAGGCGTCAAATAAAGAGGTAACCTTCATTTATAAGTTACTGTAAAGTACTGCAGTTGTTTGTGCCTTTTGAAAGTACATTTATTACTGCTGTCGTTATTTATTACCATTTTTGAGGCACTCCCCCCCACCCCTCTATAATTATTCTATTATTATTTCATTTATTTATTCAGGGACAAATGTTGTTCTTTCTGTATTGCTACTTTTTACTCGGCTGCATTATTTCACAGCTGTAGTTACTTCAATAATTAAGATGTTTGCATACAAAACCTTTAATCAGTTCATAAAATATCATGTATTGTTATAATTAAACTTAAAGCTCCACTTTCACCAGATGCAAAAGTCAAATGAATTCAAATTAAATTAAAATAAGGATCCAATATAACCCTGACATGGTTCTAGTACTTTTGATACCTTAAATACATTTCGCTGATAACACTGATGTGTGTGGTATTGTTGCTTTTACTTATATAAATGATGTGAATTCTTTCTTAACCACTGCTCTTATGTAATAAAGTGTCATTGCTGTTTACTGTTAAGAAGGCTGATATTCCACCTTAAATTGAGTTGGCTTCAAAGTTATAGAAAAACATTTGTCCACAAATATCACATAGATATTGAGTATGTTTTGTTCCTGCTTGTTCCTGCAATGAACTAATGCGGACTCATGTTAGTAAAATAGTAAAAGCCAGAGGATTTATTCTTAACCTCATATACAGTACTTTAGTGTGTATCAGTTTTAGTTTGGCTGTGACTTAAATGACATATTTGGTATCTCTGGAAACTGTACTTTCTACAAGAATTTCCAGGTTTTAAAAGCTTTAACGAATCTCAGCTGCATATCGGGTTTGTAATGGTTGGTTCTGCAGGACAGAATAGGTTTATTAAAGGATGAGTTAAGATATTCAAGTCTGTCTTATTGCAACATTTATATGCCCATATGTACATCGAAAGAGTTATTTGCTGCTGTAATCTGGAACTGAAACAATTAGGCCATTATTCCATTAGTCATTTGACAGATATTCAGCAACCACTTTGACGGTTAATTGTTTGTAGGTAAATGCCCAGAACAGTCATCTGGTTTCGAGGCTCAAATGTGAGGAATTGCTGTTTTCTTTTGTAAGCTGAATATCTTTTGGATTTGGACAAATAAAGGAACACATTGTAATATACCACCTTGGGCTCTGGGCTATAACGGCAATCTTTGACTATTTATTTTAACTATTAATCGATTAATTGAGAAAATAATCGCTAGATGAATCCATAATGAAGATTATCATTAGTGGCAGCCCTACTGTAATTTTTCCTCCTGTTCATACTGGCTATAAAGATATCCTTTCCTAGTGCACAAAACAGAACAAAACAAAACCCTGCACCCACCTTCAGTATGCTGTCTCCCACCCACACTACACAGTGTCTCAGGATTCTGGATAATGCTTTAATGTACAACAAAGGGATGTCTTTTGTGTTATGTCATTTTTACTACAGCATCTCTAAATTCAAATCCAAAGAACAAAGCTTGTAATTGCTTCCTTTCCAGTAATCAATAACCGCCCACCTGCCCCATGTCTTCTAGGGCCCATTGCCCATCCAGCAGCACCATGCTCCTCCTGCTTTGGCCATCACTGCTCCCTGGCTGCAAGATCCTCTCATCAGTGTGACTCTGCAAACCTGAGCTCAAGACATTCCTTGACATTTGTCTGCAACAAGCGCACAACCCCGCAGTATATTAGATGATGAGATTTACAAAGACACAATAGAAGAGAGGGTGAAAACTGAGCCTTTTTTCTTGATCATACGTGCATACAATAAGTATTTTAATTCAACACTAAACGTTCAAACACTAAACAACAAGTATGTGTTAGTTGTTAATGTTTTGTGATGCTTATCCAGAATAAAAGATAATGAATTTGTGAGGCAAGGACATTTATTATTTGTGTTACTGTGACTGGTAAGAAATCCACTGCTCAGGATGTAAAATTAAGATTGTACATCATTTAAAAAAATAAATAAAAGAAAGAAATTAAACATTCACTGCCTATAAAATGTTTTCAATAATATTAAATCACAATCTATTTGCAATGATCAAGGAAAATATTAACAAATAGTTCAAAACAAAGTACATGTACAAGTGGAGGCACATTTGGCTGCAGTTACAGACTCGAGTGCATATAAATGGATCTGTGGTTCCCCCCGTGCGTGTTCACAAAACTGCACAAGCTCTATCAAGTTGCATGGGGAGTCAATAACCATTCTCAAGTCATGCCACACATTTTCAAATGGATTGTCTGGACTCTCATCACTTTATGTTTGAGGTAGCTGTCTTGTTAAATAAAAAGTTTTACAGGATGAAGCAGGTCTTCCTCCAGGACCGGGAGGGGATGGCGTGTTACACCAAATATTGCATTTAGTGTGATGAGTTTTAAAGTTGCAGTAGTGGCAGCCCACCACACAGACTCAAAATGTTGTGAGGATTTACTGCAGTGCTATTTGATATCCCTATTTAAAGTTATTTAAGGGCATTTTGTTATGTAATTCCCCTGACTGCTACTTTTCAGTGGTCTTGTCATGCAATGGTTTAGGGTGTAATATTCCTTTGATTGCATGATGTAGTTTTTGCCAGGATATTTACTAAACCAGCATTTGGATAGTCCTTATAGGGCAGTATTTAAAGTATAATCACCTGTCACACTTTAATTTCACACAGCTGACTTCCATTCATCTTAATTATATGACTTCTAAAACAACTGCCGATTGTTTAAAGACAGTGGACACCTGTGAATTCTGTTATATTTTTATGGTTATATTTTGATATTAAAGTAGGGTTTTTTTTATGTTGAATAATGTGGAAAATATTCCACTGTGTCAAAAAACAATAACCCTTGACCACACTGTTGCTAATGTGTTATTTTCTTTAAATTTTCAATCATTTTATGAATTATGAGCCATGAAATGTAGGCCTGTGTGAGTAATGGAGGGAAGGTTGACCCTGCCAATAATGCTGTTTTAATTATCAAATGGCACACGTGCTTAACATGTAGGGTTATATATGTAGCCAGAGAACAGACCGAAACATTACTGTATTTCTCCTAATAATAAAAATATGTTATTCCCATACTTTTATTTAGTATATTCACACAAATTAGCCTGTTTTCCACCAGCAACACCAGCTTCACGGCAGCTTAGCAACGCGGTTGCCGCGCAACCCAGAAGTTTCTGGTCAGTGGTGATTTTCAGTTCGGACTTTCATAGTTTAATCAGCAGATAGGAAACCGGTGAGCGTTTCTAGCTGCTTTATTATAACCCTGGCTTTGAACGCAAACGGTGGGACTCTCCTCAGCTACTTCAGAGCAACTTTAAGATGTTCGCCTGGTTTTGTATTTTCGTCTGTGCCTCGGCTGGTTGCGTTGTAGCCGTACACGAGTACACGATGCCCGGTCAGCCCCACGAAGTCCCCGTAAACAGCACCGGGGTTGTGCGGGCAGCACTGTTCGCTATGGTTGAATACAACAGGGACAACGCGGAGGACTTGTTTGCCTACAAAATTGTGAACATAACCTCGGCCAAAATCCAGGTAAAACTTCATTCTGGAGTCATGTTACAAGTGATTTTTAAACTACAAACACGCGTTTAATGACTCCTGCTGTCTCATTTAGGTGGTCGCGGGAATAAACTACATCCTGGAAGTGAAGCTTGGTCGTACAATGTGCAAGACCAGCGACACTACTGACACTGAGCCATGTGTCTACCACTCTGAACCCAAGGTAAGTTCACAATTGTAGTTGGTGCACCTGCTGGGGAGGCAGGAGGAAATCAATACAGTGAGTGTAAATGTGCACCTTCCCTGCTCCAATGCACGTTTGTAAGGAAATTGTGAAAATAATGCTCTAATTTTCCATATATTTCAGGAACTAAGGTGCCACTTCGTCGTTACAGAAATTCCTTGGGAAGATTCAAGTGTACTTACTCAAAATAAGTGTAACAATCATGGGTCTGATTGCTAGTGTTGTCAAGTAAACTTTTTATCTGTGATCAGTGTTTGTGTGTGTGTGTGTGTGTGCGCGCGTGTGTTTGTGTTCATCTCAAATTTCAGAAACCAGTGATTTTCATTGGCTCCCAGATATGCCACTTGTTCCAACACTGAGTTGAATAAGTTCAGTGACCTGCACTCACTGTGCATTGTATAGGGTGAAAAATGGCATAATTATTCCAGTGAGTGACCGGGGCAGCTTTACTGTGCCTCATCTCTCAGTGTGTGTCCTGGCAGCTGTAAGGCTCTGGTTGCGTGTCAAGCTCGGTCAGACACATGGCTGCTAAACGGAGACGAGGCTACACCTCTCCACACTACAATCACGGTCTCCAGAAGGGCTCTGTATGGAGGATTACAGGCATTTTCAGATTACTGCTCAGCAAGACTGAACTGTCTGCTACTCTGACCCCCTTTTTTTTTTTGTTGCAGGGGGAATATATAGCTCACTGATAATGTGCGGATAAACACACAGCGGGCGGGGGGAAAATAACAGTCAATTACTACATGAGGGTGTCTAAGTGTGTGTAGTTTGGGAAAGTAGTGTAATATAGGTATTTGATCTGGTAGTTTTAGGGGTTTCCCTTCGCCCAACCACATATTGCGACACACTTCCAAGAGAAGGAAACGAAAACTAGGATTAACTGCGCCTTACAGTAGTTGTTAAAAAAGGAGATAATGCTAAGTGGCATTGGGGCGAAACAGGCTGCATCTGTTTGGCTTTGGTTACAGTAAACAACCACATGGATAAGCGGTTCACGCACACACACCCTCTAACCCAGCCCCATAATGTCTCTAATCATGGATGTCTTAATCAAACTGAGCAAAACATAAAGAATTGGCTGGCACTGTGGATTAGGTAGCAGGGGTTAGGAATGTGGGGGAAGAGAGGGGGGGAGGGGGGGGATACTCCTTAACGTGGGATGACTAACATCGACGCTCTGGTGCCAGGAGTATGCCCCGTCCATCTGCCACACCACTCACCCACCCACCCACTGACACACTAACAGGTGCGTGCGCGCAGATACACGTGTGTTTTCTGTGCACACGCTCACATACTCCACCCCGCACTCTGGCCCTACCCCTGTCCTCACTTAGCCTGGGCAGCAGATGGTGAGGGGTAAGGCTTGTAGCCCCCCCTCTCCCTCCCCACTCCAAGCCACCAGCCCATCACCCCCTATTTTTTTTTTTTTTTTTCCCCCTTACGAACAGCACCCCACCCCTCTTTGTGTTGTTGAAGAGCCTGAGTGTTGAAAGGCGAGCCCCAGCTTGTCTCCCCCCCCCCACAAATCCTTGGCTGGCTGCCATTGGCGGGACTCAGTCAGGTGTCCTAATGCTTCAGTTAGGGGAGGAAACGCTGGTTAATCTGCCCATCGCGTGCCACCGGCCATGGCCTGGCCTCTTTGTGTCTGGCACCCCTCTGATCAGTCCCTCCACCCCTTCATCTGTCTTTTCCCCCTTCTCTTCCAACCCAGTTTCTCTACCCCAAGACAGTGTCATCCTTTCTTAAAGATCATCCCCTCTTCCTCTCGGGATGTCTTTTAACCACATTCTTCACTGGACAAATCCGGTAGTTTTTGACAGTTGTCCTGCATCATTGTTGATGGATGTGACTTATTTTATTTATTAGTTATTAAACCATCCTCTATTTTGTGCTGAGTCACCACTGGCCTCCAGTAAACCTTCCAGGAAAAATGTTGCTCCTGAATATTTCACCGTTCTTCTCTCTAACTTAACTCGTCTACAGTACCCAGGCAGGCTTTTCACCGCGTACCTTGTGTTGAGATAACTATTATTGCACTTTGCTGCTCACCGCCCTCTTTGTCTATCCCAAGTTATGGTACATCATTGTGGATTAACGTAGGCCACTTATTCTATTAAAGTCACTTCTAAAGGAATACCTGAGGTGTTAGGTCAATACAAAATGTCTACCATTTAAACTGAGGTATTAACGTATCGGTGTATGGCAAGAATGGACTGAAGTCTGTCTTATTTCAGCTTTCCGTATTTACCTCTCACTCTTTCATGCGTAATGACACTTACCTGTCTCATTATGCACAGGCAGCATCACCCTGTACTCCTGGAAGGTGCACTCCTCTGATTAGGAGGAACGATGCTGAAGATGCTCCTGGGAGGAGGTTGATATGGTGAGGTTGCGTAACCACAGAGGGGTCATTACCATTTGACCCCTGCTGACCTAATTTTTGATTGACCCTGGGTTTGGTCACCGCTTCAGAGCACAGGCAGGAGTAGAAGGTCAGAGTTCAAAGTATCCTCAGCTGTGCTGTCATGGAAACGGCAGCGTTTGCTCTTCTGATGGTCAGTTTTAATCTAAGCACAGTGGCTCGTTTGAAACCATAGAGTTTCATTTGCTGTTATTTTGTCTCACCTTTTGAACGGTTTGGTGTTTACGCCACAACTACGCCTGTTTTTAATGTGGCTACAGCCAAACTTAAGATATTAGCCTAATCTTGGCAGACTGATATTAGATTTGGACATACTGAAATACAGATGTATGTAATAGTTGCTATTGTAGTATTGATGCTTCCGGGGTTGTTTTTTGAGCGTGGCTACAGATTGAAGTGTCGTTTTGAACTGCTTGTCACATTGTACTGATTCATTCCTTGTGTTGTACCTGTTTGGTTTTCTTTGTATTTTAATGCCGTCTTTAGATTTCCATCACGTGAGCCATGTGCAAGCAAAACATACATCTCCCTTCTTCAGTGTTGTGACCAAAGCCGCTGAAATCCGCCATTGTGGTCAATCGAAACACACCCGTGGTTTGTTTCTCCACTTCCTGTTTGTGACCGTTGTGAAGGGTTTCCTTGCAATCAGTGCTGCCGCAGGGNNGGGGGGGGGGGGGGTGGCAATCAATACTTTCAATGTAACGTGTGGCCAATGGAATAAGGGAATGATTTATGTAGGGACGGTTACTCCCCGAATCAGATGGGATATGTGTTCGGTGGCCGGATGAGTGCAGGGGAGGAGGGGTGGCGGCACAGCGACCCAGAGCAAGAAGAACTATAAAAGGTTAAAAAAAGTGTGCTTCACTGCTGTTGATCGTGGCACCACTCCTCTCCCCACCGTCCCTCTCCTCTCTTTTCATCTCTCAACCACACCATGCTCTCTGACTGTCCCGCTTAATCTCAGCGCTGTAGTATTATGAGACTAAAGACCGACGGGACGCGCGCACACAGCACACACACCCCAGGAGTTTAGCAGGTTGTGGACCACCAGCCAGAAACAGCATATGTCCCTCTCCTCTTCAGATTAATGGGAGCATGTTAATATTACCATACAGTCAGAGAGGAAGGGATCGGGGCAAGGGGTAGGGGAGGGGGTGGGAGATGAAAGGTAGGAGGGAGAGTGTAAGAGCCTTGCCGACAGACTGAGATTCAGAGGGAAGCACGAGGCAAGAGGAACGAGAGCAAGTCTGCGAGGGAAGGAGGTTGAGAGCAAGTCTTGGAAAGAGGCAGAAAGATGGAAGTGTGGAGGCGGGAAAGAGCGAGAGCAGCGAGGACATAACAACCATAGAAAAATGTGTGTGTTTGCTTTATTGCAGTGGCCCCACCTACCCCTCCATCCTGTTAAGGAGGCACAGTCCTAAGGAGGAGGGGTAGGATCCCCTCCCTCAGCCACCGACACACACACACATACTCTCTCTCTGGCTCATACACACACTCTGCTCTGTGAGGAAGCAGTCGCTGAAGAGCTCTGGATAGACCATGCAAGGTTCTGCAGGTGTCCCACCCTTCTCTCATCACATGGATGCTTTAGAAGGTACTGTTTCAATCTGTTTCTTTCTCATTTTTGCCATTTAACCCAGATCTCTTTTTAGTTTTCTTTTGGTTTTGGTTTTCCTTCTTCACTCGGAAGATTTCCCCTCTTCATTGTTCGGCGTAATCGGTGAACCTTTGCCACTAATGTGTATTAGTTTGTGTGAGATTGCATGTGCGTTTGTGTGAGACCGACTGCATGCTTGCAGGGTTGTTTACAAGCTCTACTGTAGCCGCAGGTCTGACAACTTTAGTAGAGTGGGTTCTATCGGCTACATGTGTTGCAGCTCGATTTTATTTTATCATCCCGTAATGCCCTTTTCTAAACTAATTTTGTAGGAGTCCTAGCTTTGGCTGCTTGTTGCATTATTTAGTCTTGCATTTTATTATTTTTATTGGGGCAGAACTCTTAAGGGTGGAGGGAGACAAAGCGCATTATGTATGCCCTGTGTACACCCTCTATATGCGTATTCATGTTTGGGTAGAGGCGTGCAGTCAAATCAAGTCTAGTAGAAATACATTGCAACATTTTTACAGTAACAGCAAGAATATTGTTGGTTTTAATGGGTGTGATAGTAGTGATGGTGGATGTGAAAGAGTTGGAGCTGATCAGAGTGAATTTTGAGAGTTTTTTTTTTTGGGTGGTTCATCGTTGTCACATTGCCCAGCATTTGTTACAGTAACAGTAACACAATTTAGAAAAACGATTAGTCAGTTGAGTTGTGGCCATGCTGCATATTGTTTGCCGTTTCATCTTAAAATAGTAGGTTTATGCGTCCTATAAAAACTTCATTATTCAGAGGCCGACTCAAATTATGTGATTTATATGAGAGAAATAAGGGAAATAGCAGCAAAAATGGCTTATAATCCTATAACGTGGTGTCTGTGTGTGAGTGAGGGAGTGAGTGAGTGTGAGTGAGAGAGAGAGCACATGTCTTGCATGCATGTAACGTGCTGTATTGGCAAACACCCAATACACCCCTCTTCTGCTCATACTGGAGATGGGAGGTACAGTGTAAAGCAACACTGCTCTGATATATTTATAAGAATATTTATTATAGACGTTTTATTTCTATATTCAACAGAATCATAAGTTTTACATTTCTTTTTAATTCTACATTTAACATCTACATCATTTTATGTGACATACTGAGCTTTAACGTGATTTTACAGGGATGACTAGGCTAAAATGATCGCATTATGTTGGTGGGATTTCTTGAATTTACACT